TGTTGGGGAAAGTGTTCCAGTTTAAAAAATTTAGAGAAAATTCGGTTTGAAAATGTAGGGAGCTAACTGCACGCAGACTTCCCTCCCCCCATCTACGATATATATGTTTTTTTTGTTCTGGGGAAAATAGCAGTTCTAAATTGTACTTTTACTATTTTATGCAAACCATTATGCTGTAGCTGCTTTAAGTATGGAGACGTCGAATTTAATTGGAGTAGATTTTAGGAATTTCGAAAAAAGGAGTTCTGGTGAAAATAGCATTTCTGCATATTGCTTGAATAAATCTACCATTTCATGCACATATAGTTGTTCCAGTTATGGAGTTATGGAATTTAATCAGCTTAAGTAACTTTTAGCAACTTCAAAAAAGGGAGTTCTGGTGAAAATCGTAGCAGTTTTGCATTTTGCTTGAATACATCTACCATTTCATGTACATCTAGCTGTTCCAGTTATGGAATTATGGAATTTAGCTGAAGTAACTTTTAGCAACTTTGAAAAATGAAGTTCTGGTGAAAATAATAGCAGTTCTGCATTGTGCTTCAATACATATACCACCTTATGCACATCTAGCTGTTCCAGTTATGGAGTTACGGAATTTAATTAGCTTAGCAACTTCGAAAAAGGGAGTTCTGGTGAAAATAGTTCTTCTTTTGTAGTATCTCCTTCGAGTAGGCAATTGATCTTTTTAGTATCGTTTTGTTCTAATTATGTACAAAAATAGCTAAAGCTGCGCTGTTTACATAAAGGACAATACAGAACTACTACTATTTTCGACAGAACTTCCGTTTTCGAAAGAATTAAAGTTTCTTTAAATTACTTAATTTAAATATCTCCATAACTAAAGCTATTAGAGCGACGCAGTTTGCATGAAATATAGAACAATCCGGTCACAATACAGTGCCACCAATATTTTCACCGGAACTCCCATTTTCGGAATATTTAAAATCTGCTTAAATTGGTTAAATTAAATACCTCCACGACTAGAGCAACTACAGCAACGCGGTTTGCATGAAAGTATGAAATAATAGAGCTATGCGAGCTCGAGGCAGAACTGCTACTATTTTCACCAGAACTCCCGTTTTCGGGATACTTAAAATCTCCTTAAATTTGTTAATCTCCGCAACTACAGCAGTGCGATTTGCATGAATTAGTAATCTATTCGAGCACAATGCAGAACTATTTTATCGAACTCCTCTTTTCGAAGTTCTTAGAATTTTAAAATAGGACTGTTTGATCACAATGAAGAATTGCTACTCTTTTCACCGAACCAACTCCTTTTAGAAAAATTTCCTAAATCAATTAAATTAAATAACTCCTTAACTAGAGCAACTACAGCAATGCGTTTATCAGAAATCAATTTTTTAGGAACTTTATTTTCGTTTCAAACCTCCTATGGTACAGAACAACAAAAACACGTTATAAATATGAAACATTAAGAACTGACTGATGTTAGCTTGCGTCTGCGAGCAACAGTTCCGGACTTAGAACTACATATTCATTTTAACAAACGAGCACTGTAAGAATTTTTAGAAAATTTGACCGTTGAGAGGACTGCACCATATATTTAGTACCTCTGTAGATGTTTCGGCGGCTGCGGTAGGTGGTGGTGGTGGGCAACAGCAATTGTAGGGCGCGACGAATTGCTGCGGCTCCGCAAACTTGCTTGGGCGTGGACAGTCCTTCTCGCAATATGTGATCCCAGGTTCTTCCGCGCAGGTTTGGGGCTTGTAGCGCCTGCCGCAGGGAGAGCAATCCTGCGCTTCCAAACCGAACCTCCTCGTCGGAGAGTACTCTGCAAAGGCGTTTTATTAAGAAAGCACGGAAATGGTTTTGAATTCGGTTCATCGGTACAACTGGACTAACCTGGTTGCAAGCCGTTTCTCTTGATAGACGAATTGCTATTTCCTACGTAGGTGCCTTTGTCTGAAGCTAGAAGCGTTAGTTTTAGTCAGACCGAAATCCGGAATATGTTACTAGTCAGTTACTATTTAATTTAAGACGTAAGAAACCTTGTACAATATGAAAATCCTTTAACACTTACTCTGAGCGTTTGGACAGTTGATGTTGCAACAAGGACGCATCATTTGCTGTGTTCTTCCTGAAAAATGTGTCAGATTTTATTTTTTTTATCAAACCGTCATTGTCTAACATGTCCCTATGATCTTCCAACTTATCCAGACTAACTATTTACATACTTTGAACTCCTGGGCAATTCTGGATCCCATTACATGGAATCTGGATGATTTGCATTGGAGGCACTGAAAAAAAAACATAAAAAACTAAGGACAGTACTTTACATTGATCACAAGATGGTAAAGGTCCCAAATCTAAGTAACTTGATAACTTTTTACTCACCGTTCCCGCTCTTGGTCGCGCTGCACACCACTGGTGGACAACAAAGAGTACCATTGATGGTCGTTTGTTGTTGATAATGGGTCCTTCCACATTTCAGACACGGCTGTTGATAATATTGGTGAAAGACGCTATCCTGCATGGATATGGCTCTAAAAGGAAACCATTGATGACCACAATGTCCAAATCAAAGAATATGTATTTGGAAAATTTGAACTCACGGATTGCCACCCTCAGGCTGGCAATATGCCACGATCATTTCTTTCGACACTTGGTTTTGGTCGAAAGTGTCGTTCTTCTCTTCCACATCTGTGTCCTCTTCCCGTATTTTGTTCAGTTCGGTTACCTGGGTCGAGGCAGTTCCTTCACCACACGACTGTGATCTGGGAAAAAAGCAATTTGAGTGATTCTACGGACGGAGCAAGGTGCCGACGGCACGCATACTTAATGGGACTTACCCAGCACTGCAGCGTATTCTTAGTCTTACTTGTTGATAATTTGGATTAAACGAAAAATTTTGACCATTGTGTTCAGACAGGTTGACAAGCGGTTATGAACATAAGGTGAAAGGTGACAGATGATTTACAGGTTACAGTCTCGCTGGGTTTGTTTGTATGAGGCCAAGTTACTGCGATTCGATGTGAGCTTGTTAGATGGTTTCTCTCAACTTACCTTATCCTCGAATAGGGGAACTTCCTTGATGACTGATCCTTAGCAACTAAGAATGGATTTGTTTCATTTTCTTTTGGAGGAGTCTTTTGGTACTTTCTGATGAAGTCACCTAGTTAACACATCTTTTTAATAGGATCCCTAGGTTTTGAGCTACCACAACCTTACCTGATCCTTCTAGAATCGGATAAGGATTAACCAAAGTACTATACATCCGTTTCCTTGGACTAAACTCTCTAAAACGATGACACATATATTTTAATGATCAATAAACGTAAATTTCATTCTAGTTGCTTTGTTACCTAAGTGGATCGGGAGTGGGCAAAGGAGGAAAGTCTTTGCTAACTGCAAATGTGCCCCCATAAGAATACGTAGGCACCACTTGGGGTCTAGGCCTTAAGGTACTTCGCATCCTTAATGCATTTGTCGATACGTATTCCCATTCTTGGTGGACTAGAATGGAAAATATATGCTCAAAGCTTAATTTGTAACCAGCATCCCTAACTGAGAGCTATACTTACTTAGGCAAGCAGAAACGGCTTTATCTACTTGCACATTTATAGGCACTACTCTTGTGTCGTTTCTATGAATCCATTTAATGTATTGTCTGGAATAGAACGATTTTTTAACCGAGATTAAACGATGTGGTGTACTCACAAAACAATCAGAAGACAGTCTAAAATATACACATATCCAGTAACGAAATTCATTACACAAGTAACTAGTAACAGTGTCTGGTTCGTAACTCTCCTTAGAAACAACAAAAATCCTCCACAGAGGCAAAACATGTGGAAAGCTGTTACTGAGAAGACTATCCAGGTCCTGTGGCCCATTGGCCTCGACTGGATCCAGCCGATGGTATCCACCAGTGTAACAAGAAGGAACGTGGTTGATACTACCATTAGTATCACTTTTGTTATGAAATGTAAACGTATGAAGAATATTGTAACAGCTAATGCGAAACAAACTAAACAGCAAACCTGGAATTTGTGGTTGTTTAGATTGATATGAAGAAAGGGGATTTCGTTGCTTACTAATTCTGTTGGTCTTAGGATTTTCCCTGTCTTTTGTGTTATGAAACGATTAAAATAGAAAGTGTTATTGTCCATCTGGGACGAGAACTGTCATTTTCAGTCAAATTTTTCGTATCAGGTTGACAGTGATGTGACCTTGACACTTTTATTTCATTATATTATTCGTTACATTTACCTGTGGCGCTGTCTAGGGACTTTGTTCTGTAGCTGTAGAAATTCAAATTTATACATATTTCAAGGTTGACAATAGGGATTTTGCCCCAAAATCGCAGTTGATTTTTTACAGTCTATTTTGTAACCCTAGAAAGGAATATTTTCTTCTTTTTAGAATTAAATATTAAACAAGTTTGTACAAACTAACTTTAATAAACATTGGGACCACAAATTTACTAGGTATTTTAAGGTTAAATTGGAAATAACACAATTTAACAAAAATTATGCTTTTATTAACCTTATTTTATAAAACTTATAAAGTAAAAACTATAAAGCTACTATAAGTAATTATTTCTAAAAGTGATATGTATTAAGAAATGTCAAAATTTCTATTATATTACAAATATCTTAACTAATGGACGGATTTCGATAAATGTCATTTGTTCACAAAAACAGTAATAATAATACTAAATCACTATAACATATAAATAATGCTTGCTTTGGTACACCTCCTAACTATGTAGATATTAATTAAAAAAGTGTTATATTTGTACGAAAGTTATAAAATAACTTAAATCTTAAGTCATTGAAAATCTTAACATTGTAAATGGGCCAAATATTGAACCTTGCGTCACACATAACTTTTATAATAAGGTGAGGAATGTTCTGTAAAACATATACAAAATAATGAACCACACATTTCTACAGTGACGTTTAAAAACTTTCTTTTCTTACGAACATCATTAATACGGCATCTACGAAGAAAATCAAGACGTTGAAAAAACAAAACAATATGGATATTGTCATCATAATGCCTAAGTGCACGTTGGGATCGAAAAAGTTATCTTTCGAGATCTTTACCTTGTCTACGGCCAAAACGACCCCTAAAAACAAAGTAAATGGTGTAAAATTTACGTAAAATTCATTAAAAAAAACTAAACTAAAGTTAAATATGATGCAAAATTTTTGTCGTACAAGAGTCGTGACTCGAATTCATAGTTACGAAAATATAAACAGGCCCAAGTTTGATCCTTGCGGTATACCCGCATATATTCTAGGTTTTGTATGCTCCAGATGATTTTATTCGTTGTGAACTGATAGAATCATATCGTTAGAAGTCATCTTGAAGTTTGAAGGTAACAGCTGCGTCGGCAGCAAAGAGAAGGGCGTTTAGGAAAGCGAATCCAGCCGAGATTTTGAACAGAGTTTTTAGGGAGCTCTCGTCATAATCGGAGTAATCTCGTTCGGGTCTAGTCGCGTCTCTTATAAAGTCGTTTGTATCGACGATTAGCAGCATGCCTGAAAAAAATGAATAAATAAAAATGCATAATTTGAATTTGAAAGATGGAATGATGCAAAATTTTTTTTATTGTCAAACGGTTTAGTGATATTGAGTCCAGAAATGGTCTTGTATTTCATTTAAAATTTAAAATGTCAGTAATCATCGCTAATCGTACGAGATGAAGCTCCCAAAATACGCTCAAGTTAGGCTGGTGGGTGGATGGATGAATATCAGTTAAATCGTTTAAGGTTATGTTTATTTAAAGTACGATTGTTTTTTTGGTTGTTGTATCGTGGCCTGTTTAGCCGATCACTTTCTTAGTTGCAGCTAGGAATCTTTGACCTGCCCTCGCTGTTCTCGGGCAAGGCTCTGCGGGGGCTGACCCGCTATTAGAACCCTAAGGTCCGCCTTTATGTTTATTTTACATTTTTTTGACCTAGTGACTTATTGTTATTGCTTATTACGTTATGGCAAACATATTATTCCGATTGTAGGTAAACTGCCCTCTAGCGGCGCGTAAGGAAACTTTTCTCTAATTAGCACAAAAAAACTCTACGTAGTGCATGTGCCTGATATGATGCTGGAGCAACTAAGTTAAAAAATTCAATTAAAAAATTGAACTTTGACAAGCTGTATCAATTGACATTTACAAACAAATCCATACTACTATTATTTTACTCTACCGGATCACCCGGTTAAATTTTTCTAGGAATTATTGAACATCCTGTACATAAAACTAGTAATGTATGCTACACATTTTTTTTTTATTTTTGCATGGACTTTCGAGAGGTCAATTTTACTAAAAATTGAATAGAATAAGCTTGTGTTTAGACAAAAATTGTGCATCATATGCGATAATGTGTAACCTCAACTTTTTAATATTGTGCGTTAAAAAAAAATAGTTTCGACCTACCTGTTATTAAGAACAAAGCAGATCCAATGATGGCAAAGAGAGCCACCGTCCTGTAGGGTATTTTGTCGCCCAGAGCTTTGCTCACGAGTAAGACGCAGTTGATGACCATGTAACCGGTGTAGGAGGTGTACATCACGCCAATGTGGTGCATGAGAATTCTTGTAAAAATCGTTCTGGTCAGAGGTTCATAGATGAGACCCATACAAACTGCACAAACGAGCTGAAACGAAGATAGAGACAAGAACGGTAAGGTTGGTCAGGTGGCAGTAGCACGAAGTGCTAGAACATTAACATGTGCGAGAATGGATGGGGGCTTGTATTAGATCCTTGAAGTACTTCCAGTATACTAAACGTTAAGACTATAAATCAAAGAGTGGAGGTCTTGTATATAATTTGAATTGCTGAATAAATTGTAAAGTACTATCCTCAGATTCCTCTATTTATCAATAAAATCATTACCATTGACTCACAAAGAACTAGATCTAGCAACGATTATACAGGGTGTTTCATAATGATGCAAATATTTTAAGGGGAGTTTAGAAAGTAATTTTAAGGGGGGTACTTCCTATATATTTTTTTTTATTTGAGCCCCCTCTGAGAAAATATTCAAATGTCAAAATGGCCGAAAAAATTAGCTTTTATTTTTATCACGAAAACGGTTAAACGTAGAAATTTGAATTTTGATATACATTAACAATTACTTAAATGGTATTTTTGGTAGTCTTTTTTTTCTGGTTTATGTCTTTGAAATAAACAAATTAGCACCCCTCACAACTTTTTTCTACGTTAGCCAATTCCAACAAAAAAATAGCTTTTAATACTGCATTTCATTTAGAAACTTTTTACTATTCCCATTTTTTCGTATACTTAATGGTTTACGAGCAATAAAATTAATTATTTTTCTTTGCTAATTAGGTACCTACACATAATTAGTATAAGTTACCAAAAACGATCGTCATTTTTACCATGATTTTTGCAAAAATTATTTTTTTATCAATAGGAAAAGTTAAGCAAATAACTAAAAATTTAATAAAAAAAATGAAAGCCAATTTTTTCAGTCATTTTGAGATTTGAATATTTTCTCAAGGGGGGTTCAAATTGAAAAAATGTATTGGAAGTACTCCCCTAAATTTACTCTCCTTAAAATATTTGCACATCATTATGAAACACCCTGTTTAGTGCTAGTGCTGTTACATCGGTAGAGTAGGTGGCTCAAATGACTGAAATTACTATTACAAAATAACAATAACAGGGTCTGATCAAAACAACAGACCACTTTCTTTGTTTTGTGCGTTAAATGTCGATGAAAATATAAACATTATCAGCTTTTTTTATTTTTTTTTTTTGTGAAAATTGCGCGGATATTCAATGTCATCGGAAATTTCGTTGCCACAATTCTACTCGTATTTAAAAAGTTCTACATTTTAAATTGCAAAAACAAACATTCTTTTTATTGCTTCAATTGAATAATGAAAAAATATGTAGCATTGATTCTCATAATGTCTAAAAGAAGGAATAATGGTAATGAAAAGGTACTGTATAGTACATAGTTATTAAATTTATTGCAATGAAGCGGCCTTAGCGGCCTCTAAAAACCAACAAAAGAACTGAACTGAAAATTATAAGCAGAAAAATGAATTAATTTTGTATTTTTTTTCAATCTACTCTAAAAAATTTAAACTTTCTTTTCAGGAGGAATATAGGTATATATATATTAAATTTTAATAAGAAAATTTTAACAATTTCAATTTTTTAATCGTCAATTTTTATGATTTAACACTAAAACAATTTTTTTCTATTCCATTCACTTAATTATTTAAAATAATGAAAAGTTGCTTTCGAAATTTTCTTTTACATTCGCTTTGGGAAATAAAAATAAAACAATATATCGCTTTCTCTGAAAGGATAGGTTACATTTTTTAGAGTAGATTTAAAAAAATTATAAAATTCATTAATTTTTCTGCGTGGTATGATTTTTTAAATTTTTTAAATCATCCTTTAACTTCTAGTCTCCTTAACTCTGTTCATTTTTAATAGTACAAGATAAAGTCAATAGACCATTTATATGTAGAATTTTATGCTCTACAACTTTCATAAGAAACTTTTTTTTAACTCTTACCCCGTTTATGTTTTCTTGATTTTTACCGGGGGTTGAAAAAATTACTTATTGTTATATGTTCCTCAAACTAACTTACTTATATCAAAAATTCAAGCAAGTTATATGTTATACGTTTTTGAACAAGAAAAAATCGCTTCCGCTGTTTTTTTTGTTTAATTCTTTTTTTTTTTACAAACTTTAACACTCTCCATAATACATATATAAAAAAAGTCAATTTACTTTGATACATTTGCGTTCTATTTAATAGATTTTTTTATGTTCAAGTTTTTTTCTATATCTATCATTATAATGGGAAACACAGACAAAAAAAAATTAAAAACAAATAAATTTCATTTCTAACATTCTTGGGATATTTAAAACAATGTACAATGTCAATGGATGGAGTTGAAAAAAGTAAAACTTTTTTATTTCTGATTTTATCAAAGAAACCCATATCCGTTCAAAAATTCTTTTGTTGAAACCCACAAAAATTTAAAAAAATCATTAGGAATATTAACTCAATATTACATTATGCTAATTAAGGAACTTATAAATTCTTTTGCACATTTAACATGTACTGGGTGTCGTTAGATCGTCTTAACCATTAACATTAATAACAGAAAATTTTTTTAGGTGAAATTTCACATTTTGGGAAACATCTGCTTGGTTAAAAAACAATCTATAATCTTCTTTTATATATGAAAAATTGAGTATGCTTGGAACAAACAAAAAATACTTTTTGTATAGGTAAAATGCATTTTTTTTTAATTTCTAAAAATTGCATTAAGAAAAATTGTTCAGAATTAAAATACGGAAATAACTATATTCAAGAATTTGAAAGCAAACCGCCTACTTTGATTTTTTAAATTTTTCCATCGGGTGTATTTTTTTTGTGAAAGAAGTCGGGAAAAAATATTACTTGTTTATAATTAAAACGTATGTTAATGTCCCAAGTTTTTTGACAATTGATTCTAATTTTGCAGTTCAGTAATTTATCAACACGAGAAATATCAAAGTAAGCCGATTATCTTCAGATGGACACAACTTTTTATTGTAAATAACTTTTCTCAATACAATTTTTTGATACCCTTTGATAAAAAAAACATTTTACTTACACAGATTTTTTTTTGCTTCTGGCAAGGTTATTTGTTTAGAAAATTATGTTGTAAGTCACTTTTGGTCATACAGAATCATTTCCGAAATTGCCAAAATTTTTACTTAAAATTTTCTTGTAGATGCTTATGGTTATTGACGATCTGGGGGCACACTATACATTTCAATGTTGTAAAATCATTGATGTTCCATTTCATTAACGTTTTTCCTTAAAACTACATTTTTGAACATAAAATTCGACCACCCTTATCTTTTTTAACTTTCTGTCTAGAAAACAATGGTACAGACGAGTACTTTCGAAAATTTTCTTGTGACTAAAGCAACATAGAAAAAACAATTTCGACGAAATAAACCAAACTTTTCTTCTTTTTAATGGAACACCCTGTATATGTATGTCTTGGCGCTATTTGTTAAGCAAATATCGCCAAAGTCGATTTGAAGAGTAAATTGAAAAAATTTTCTACATTTTATGAATTTAACTATTAATAATATTTAAAATTTTAGTTTAACTGACCAAATCTTCAACATAATATTCTAGTTTTCTAGTCTAGTCTAGAGCATTTCATCAATCATGGGGAAGGAATAAAAAAAACAATACCTACCAACTGCAAAACCTTAATCCCAACGGGCCAATACCCCAAGATCTTCTTCCTCAGCGGCTTCTTCACCGCCTGCACTTTGACCTCTTCATCTTTGCTGTTCTCCACCTCGGCGGACATCTTCACTTTCCTCGGCACCTCGTACAGCGAGTCGACGTTGTCCACTTTTACGGTTATTTTGGAAGAACTGCAATCCGACACGACACACGGAATCTCCTCCGCACTTTCGTGGCGCTCACGCGAGTGGACGCTCTTCTTAGTCGGCTGCCAAAGCAATGAATGGGCTGAACGAGTCATAGCTTAATTGATACTATTAACCCCTGTACAATTAAACCTATTGCCCTCCACCCACGGCGTGTATTCATTTGTTTTTGACGCCGCCAGAGGCGTGCGGCTCGAAGAAGAGATGGAACTCGTCGGAACGGAATTCGTACATAACCTAATTTTATTGCAGTGCACTTTAGGGGGGTGAAGAATCTATTTTTTTTACTTTTTTTTGTGACTGCTAATAGTCACACAGTTTATGGTTTAGTCTATTGATAAACAATTGCAAACGTATGTCATTGGACAGATTTAACCATGACATATTACTGTCAAAGTATAATAAATCGGGTCGAATTCCTCGTTAAAATTATTTGGATTGCCCAAAAGATTTCAGTATGTTCTACTTAAAGGGCGCAGATCTGTGGATTAGTTAGCTACTTCTGGTGTCCCACACGGATCTGTCTTTGGGCCCTTGCTATTCAACTTTTTTATCAATGATACTTGTTCAGATATTAGTTACCTTCTCTATGTTGATGGCTTCAGTATAATTACAATTTCAGTTACTTTAACTCGACTTAATAGTGATTTTCATGCGTTTACTCGTATCCAAGATCTCATCGCGCGCCACTGGCTGTCGACGAGGCGCTTGAGAAACGCGGGTGACGAATCGCTATTGCCACTAATTCGTGTTAATTCGTTTTATTTATTTATTGTCGATTTACCACGGAAGGAATTGCCATACGGCACGTCGACACGCGGTGCCGAACGCGTGTCAGTCTGTCCCAATTGGCAGTGACACTGTTCCGTCTAAAAGGATAGGTCACGTCTAATCCGAATAGTTTTGGCATTGTTCACTTGATTGGTGTGTAATTTCGAGGGTTGCCGAACTATTTTCATAAATGGGAAATAATTAGTAAGAGTGAAAGGATTCAGATCCGGTCAGCGTGGTGGCTACTTACTTCACCTGATAATAGAGTAATTGCAACATATTTTTGTCTCTTGAAGGCTCAAAGTACTTATTAAGGCCGACTTAATCTTCATTTAGCTCTGTATAACATCTGATGACGAACGTTTGTCCACCGGCAGTATTCTCATTTGGTCTTCGCATATTTTAAGCATTAATTGCACAGTAGGCCTTGGAATGCTTGCGGCATTCCGTGTTATTGTTGTTTAATTACATAACTATGTAATTAATAATAAATTTATATATCATAATGCGTTTAAGGTGTTGGTTATAATTCTGGATTATGTATGCGTGCTTGCTGCTACCAATATATTTTTTTAAAATGCTCATTCGTCAGTTCTTTGGAATTTTTAATAACAAATACTAAATTCTTGCTGGTTGAAGCAATTATTTCTATATCTCGTAAAATTTAGTCTGGAATCTAAAGAAACTATTTATAAGTATTAGTCAACCTGGATATGTCAAATCTAAGAGACCGACATACTTCATTTTGTTTTTTTTTTTTCAGGAACTTGGCCTGGACATTACCGACGCCCAGATCAAGGAAATGGAAGCTAATGTCCACAACATCAACTTCGACGAGGCAGCTGCCGAAGAACGCCTCACCAGGCACGACGTCATGGCACACGTCCACGTTTTTGCAAAACAGTGCCCCACAGCAGCCCCTATAATCCACTTGGGCGCTACTTCCTGTTTCGTTGGCGACAACACCGACCTCATCGTTCTCAAGGATGGACTGGACTTGCTGTTACCTAGGGTAGCCGCTGTGATACGGAATATGACACACTTCTCTGAGCAATACAAGTAAGTATTATTTGGTTTAGATGCGCTTCATATCTATTTAATTGCTCGACGAAAAACTTAAATAACAGTCATTGAATCATCTAAAGCTCGCTAGTCGTTTGAGTAATACTGAAAAAGTTTACAAAACCTATAAAGGTTTTAATGTTTTGTAAAGTGTTTATGTAGTATTTATTTTTTGAGTGTCGTGGAGTTGTATTCAAGAAAATACATATTTGCAGGAGAAAATTATTTTAAACAGCTACTAACTGTCGTAGATGTGATTATATCTCTCACAGAGTATGTCTATTTTATCAGTCATACATTTGACCCTCCTTACCTTCGTCCGTATGGACGCAAACCCATAACCAAGAATAGACCTATGAGTCATTCATACCACGAATTTTTGTACGATTTGCTATCTGTATAAGGGAAATTAAACATATTCATACCATCAAGACAATTTTTGTACGATTTGCTATCTGTGAATTATCGATCCATTTGAATGACGCACCTGATCATCACCTCTCCTTACCTTCCTCCATACGGCCGCAGAATTGTTCCCATAACCAAGATTATACCACAAGCTTCCCATGTTTCATAAAACCTAAAAGGAAGATGAACGTATTCATACCATCAAGACACCTTGTGTACAATTTGCTATACTGTGCCTTGCACTAGGTCACTACCCACCCTTGGCTTCACTCATCTGCAACCCGCCCAACTGACCACGGTCGGCAAAAGGGCGACCCTTTGGCTGTACGACTTCCTCATGGACGAAAGAGCCCTTCGCAGGGCTAGGGAGGACCTCCGTTTCAGGGGGGCCAAGGGGACCACAGGAACGCAGGCCTCCTTCATGCAGCTCTTTGAGGATGGCGCCAAAGTCAGAGCTTTAGACCAGCTCGTGGCTAAACTGTCGGGATTCCAGAAAACTTACCCGGTCACCGGTCAGACCTACACCAGGAAGGTTGATGTGGAGGTCGTCAGTTCTTTGTCTTCTCTGGGTATGTAAATCTAGCTTAGGTATGCGTGGTGTTTTTTAAGTTGGGGGTTTGAGTTCCATGTCACGTTAAAAGAAACACTCAATTTAACAAACACTGTGTAAGGGGCCTATCGCAAATGATAGAGAGGTGTTTCCAGGTTCTTCAATTCACAAAATGTGCAGCGACCTCCGCCTCCTAGCCAACATGAAGGAGATCGAGGAACCCTTCGAAAAAAGCCAAATAGGCAGCTCGGCGATGCCCTACAAGCGTAACCCGATGCGTTCGGAACGCTGTTGCGCCCTAGCGCGCCATCTGATGGCCCTCTTCTCCAACGCAGTCAACACGCATTCGGTGCAGTGGCTGGAACGAACTTTAGACGACTCGGCTAACAAAAGGCTGACGCTTTCCGAAGCGTTCCTGAGCGCAGACGCCGCCTTGCTGGTGTTGGAGAACATCACCCAGGGATTGGTGGTGTACCCCAAGGTGATAGAGAGGAGGATTAACCAGGAACTACCGTTTATGTCCGCGGAGAACCTCATCATGGCCATGGTGAAGAAGGGAGGGGACAGGCAGGTTTGCCACGAGAAAATCAGGGTGTTGTCGCAAGAGGCGGGAGCTCAGGTTAAGCAGTTTGGGAAAGATAATGACTTCTTGGATAGGGTTAGAGGTGATTCGTATTTTTCTCCAATTTTGAGCGAAATTGATAGTCTTTTGGACCCTTCCACTTATACTGGAAGGGCCGCTGATCAAGTTACCGAGTTTTTGGAAGAGGAAGTGTTTCCTTTGTTGGAACGTTACCAGGATGTCCTGAAGCAAGAGAATCCTGTGACCTTGAATATTTAAGGATTTTTAGATAGACGGTTAATAAATGTTTGTATTGTTTTTTTATATTTTCTCGACCTTATTCCCTTTCCATGATCAGATTAATTTTGGACTCGAAAATTGACTCAAAAGTCAGTTGCACCACAAAGGATTTTAATTTTATGCTGCAATTTATTCGATTCTGGATACGCTAAAGAAAATGTTTAAAAGGAAATAAGTTTCCAAAATGAAACAAAAAATGTGAAACCGAAAGACAAACTTTATAACTAAAAGTAAGTACAACGAAAGAAGTTCCACCAAACTGAAATTCTACCATATGAACTTTGAAAACTGTACACTAGGTTTTAATTAAAACCAATCTATTTCTGTAACTTTTATTCAAGATTCAAGAAATTGAATTACTTCTTAATCTGGCAATAAAAACCGCGTAATAGAAGAGTAATAGAGTCAGCCAAAGTAATCTAATAGTTTTCACCCAATATCTTTGAAATATTCTGTTGACCGCATAAACCACTTAATTCTTTTGAAAAAAGGGTTTGATTTTAGTCCTCTTTTAGTTAACCTCTTTTCTTCGTATATAAAGATATAACCTACTTTGTTTAATGCACTCGACAAATTCGGGTGTCTCCCAAGGCTCCAGTTTGGGACTTTTGATATTCCTGACCTCTATCAACGACATTTGCTTCACTATAGAATATGAAAATCTGAATGTTGTCGATATAGGAAAACTGATAATTTTTAAACTTGCAGAATGATCTTAGTGCGCAATATTGAAATTTTGTGTAAGAAAAACTGGTTAGAAGTTATTGTTGCCATATTTAAAGTAGTTACTTATACCAGGTTTGTGTTTTATGAAATATATAAAGTCAATAATACAGTCTGTACACACTAATGCAAAAAATTAAAGGGTCAAAAGAATTTCGGAAATTTTTCCGTGATTTTTGACAGACTGTATTTAGGTGAAAAATGGTCGTATCGGGAATTAAAGAAAGCATTTTGAAGCTCTAAGATTCTAGTTTTTAGATCTTTCGCTCGAAATTTTTTAGGAACTACGGTTATCATGCAATTATAAGAAATAGCGCGACAGAAAAAAATAGTTTTTTTGCTTTTTTGGAAAACCCTCCGGGCATTGAAGAAAACGAAATTCAATTGTTTCCAGTACGATTCGACTTTTTCGTCCTATGCTCCTGTTCATCAACTTTTAATTAAATTAAAATTGATGGCCCAAACCAGATTTCGACCCCGATTCATACCGTTTTTTTGAGACAAATTTCTAAATCTATAATCACTTAAAAACAGTTTTTTTTCAAAACCACACTGTCTTCTCAGAAAAAAAATTTCTAAATTTTTTTTTCATCAATTTAAACGTTATTTGCGGTAAAAATATGAAAAAACCTAAAAAAATTTTCTTTTCCATTTTCATCATGATTATGAAGTATTTAAACTCAAAAAACGTGACCCTTTATTTTTTTTCAAAAGTTTTGACAGTTTGAAACAAAGAACGGTTCACTAGATCGAGATGAAACTTCACAGGGTTTTTCTGGGTGTATCGAACTGTAAAAGTCATACTTAACATTAGTCATTTCGTGAATATTTCTAATTTAGCCGTCAATTTTCTAAAAAAACATAAATTACCTTTTTCCCCTGTTTTTTAAAATTCGTGTAAAAGATGAAAAAAAAATCCGAAAAGTTGCGGCAGCTTGTTATAGGAAATTTATTCCAGTTTTCGAAACTGCCCTTCAATTCTCTGTACGACCATTCGTCGATGAGATATCGATAATAGACACAAGTATCCTTTTCCATTAAAAGTCCGATATTTAGATGAAAAATGGTCGTATCGACATTAAAAAGGAAATTGAAGCTGAATAAACAAACTATCTGGTCAATGCAATGTCTTGGCTGAAAAAAAATTCCAAGTCCGTAGACTCCAACCCTCAGATTTTGGACATTGCAATGCCTATGTGCCCAATTTCAAATTATTTGATTTACTAGTTTTTAAATTATTAAAAAAAAATTGAAAATATTTTTTGAAGTTTAACACCATGTATCTTTTTAACGAAACTAGATAAAAACTTTATAGGAAAGACTCCCATTAAAATTCACGAAAGAAAATGAGGTTTCGTTTTTGGCCACCATTTGTGAATCACCCTGTACCTATACATACTTAATGTATTAACCAAGGATGCAAAGGGTATATTAGGAGTTTAACAAAAGTTTACATTTTTTATTATAAATTTGTACACAATCATACAGTATACATTTTCCTTAAAAATTACGTTTATAACAAATAATATAGTTAAAGATTTTTTCTTTTTTTTTTGTGAATGGAAAAAGATGATATAAGACACGAATCAAGAACTGTATGAGATATATGTAATTTCCCGTTCTTTTATTTGTTCATTTTGTAATATAATTAACATATTCTCAGCATTTGGCAATAAAAAGGAGCAGCTTAATAATTGTATCAGTTATTTTCAGTCAAATTCCCCAGGCAAGATACAGTCTCTAATAGTAAGGATTCATAGGTACCAAAAAAGTGTATATTAAGAACTATATGTTTGCCAGGGTCTTGGCCACCATTGTTATTACCATTGAAATATGTAAAAGTATTACCATTGAAATATGTAAAAGTAAACTGGCTGTTCCAGTTAGAAAACGGTTTTTGACACCATTTCTTTTTTGGTACACCCCGTATAAATGATAATAATTCTAAAACGCTTCCAGTACCAAAAAATCTTTGTTAGGCTTTAACTGAAAACAATTGCTATGCAATAACAAATTATTTAGCTCCTCTTAGGTGGGATTCCCTGAATTTAACACTAATAAAAAAACGATAATCATTACTGGATAGAAAAAAAAAACTGTCATGTAGTACAGTGCTGGTTATGTGTAGACCAAGACTAAATAAAGTCTTATTTACAAAAGTAAAAATAAATAAAAATTTTAACGAACTATATGGACCAATCCTGGTTTATTTGTAATACTGGGTGAATTTATTGCAATTTTGTTTTGATCAGGAATATTATACCTAAAACGGAGTCAATGAGATACGCCGCCCCATTTATTATACACAGGGAACCCATAGCGAGACCGACCTGGAAAAAAAAAAGAAAATTTATTTCACAGGGAACAGATCTTAAGCTTACTTAGTCTTTATAAAATAATTTTATACATCATGTATACAAGAAACGTACGTTTAATTACACTTGCAACAGTTTTAGTTAAACGTTTGTTTCGTTGGGTTCCTCAGGGATGTTATTTAGGGCATTTTTCGTGTATGTATTCATCTAGGATACAAACAGCTATTTGTATAAAAGTTTATTTTTAAATGTACGGTTAAAGTATTGTAAATTTGTTATTTTTTCAAACAATTTTTTATCAGAAAAGAAGATTATTGAAAACCGCGGTAGGATTATTGTGACAGTACCTGCTGCTGATAAAAGTTAATGTAAATATTATCTGATAATGACAACATCTCGAAAAAATTTATTATTTACACATAGTGTTATCAAATAGCTTTGTGTGAGACTGCGCACCAAGTATCAAATAAATGTGACTAAGAGGTTTTTTTTTAAAGATCATCTGTCTTATTATTGATATATAAATAATATCTTAACTATCTACAGTAGGGTGGCCCAATAAAAACGAATATTTTTTTTCGTATCTCTTGTGAAAATGTGTTAGTTTATCATGTTTTAAGAGCCCCCTCAAAAAATCAGTTCACAAAAAATTTAGAGGTCGCTCAAGATTTTTAAAAATTTTCAAAATCGTCAAAAATTAAATTTTTTTTAAATTTTTTTTTAGTAGTGTACCTAAAATGTTTTCGAGCGACCTCTAAAAATAAATATCAACGAACTAATAATTTTTTTTATTGAATTTGATGAACAAAAGAATAGAAATAAATCACGAGACACTTAAAAAATTTGTCATCAAATATTTATAATTTTTTAATTTTTTTAAAATTTAAGTACATACTACTTTGAAACTTAAAATAATTATGAGCGACCTTTAAAAATTAAAATATCGATTTGAAATTTTCAGAATCGAGATTTTTTTCAACCCAGAAAATAATAAAATAACGAGAAAAAAATAAAAAAAATCAATTTTTGACGATTTTAGAAATTTTTAAAAATCTTGAACGACCTTAAAAAAAATTTTTTTTGAGCTGATTTTTTGAGGGGGCTCTTAAAACATGATAAACTAACATATTTTCATAAGAGACACGAACAGAAATATTCGTTTTTTTTTGGGCCACCCTAATCTACAGTGTTCAGCAAAAATATGTACACAAAAATATCGCGTTCAAACTCAAACAATGATTCCAATTTTACCTAACTCGTTTGACATTACACACCGTTATAAAATTTTATTAATCAAAACTGACCAGAAAATAATGTTTTGACATTCTTTGCTTCAAACGCTTTCTTAGCAACGGGACAAAAAAATAACAAAGCAACCAAAACACGTTTCTTTACCTCTCTCTCAGAGTCTACCATCTGGTACTTGTGTTCAAAGAGGTACCCATGCCAGTAGTGCAGAGCTGTAGCGCCTACTGCGACCCACATGAAGACGCCAATTATGTTCATCAAAATGTCGGTGAAGGTACTAAAAATGAATAAAGATAATTATATTATTGCGGGAAACAACTACTCTTCTGGTTATAGCCCCGGCCAATATTAAAATACACATTTGAGATGCGTTGAAAGAAGGAATTGTACTCACGTTTTGTGGTCCCCGCTAGCGAAGCACAAAGCTATCAGAGCTACTAGCGTGTATATGATGTATCCAACAAAGACTCCCGAAGCTACGATTTCGACGTCGGGGTTCTTTTCTTCGTTCAAATTCCATGTTCCTCCCACTCCAAGGAAATAGCCTTGAAAACCGGTTCTGTACAGGATCAGGATGATGATGTTCAGAACCTGAAAAAGGGATATAGCATTAATTGGTGTCAGACAAGAATAAATTAGTTCATATTTGAAGATTGATAATATATTAGGTAATTTGAACAGATAGCACAGTAAATTATGACTTAAGGACAATTAAAGTAACGGAAGAATTGTAGAGTAACTTTGTTGATGAGTTAGCTTGAAGGTCCACTATGTGTTACACTGAGGATTTTACTTATATCTTTTATATGGAAGAAAATATGACAAACGTGGAAATTGTTTAATTAAGTACAGAGTAACCATCTCTATGTTCATAAGAGCACCACATAACTCCAGGACACTTTGAATGGAACAGAAGATTCTTCAAGACTGAGTAAAATATGCTTCACATTGCATGTGATTAACACTGTCTGTACTAGGCGTACGGACTTACAGATATGGCCTGGGTAAAGAGCGATAGTCCCGCTCGGCCCCGCCCGATCCGAGGTCATTTTCGTACTCGAATTTGCTGAAGAAGATACATAGTGATGTTGGTACAATCTGGAATAAGCCACAATTATCTGTTTACTTTGGTATTTCTATGTTTGACTTAGATACAAAACTAATTTCAATTACAATCACTTCGAGAAAATCGTAATAGAAACAAAAGTAGTTGTGAATAAAATAGCAATAATTATAGTTTTGATTTATAGCCTTGGACTTGACACAATTTTTGTGGAGTCTAAATACAACGAACCACACTTAGTATAGATAAAAAATTGTGCTTGTAAATATGTAACAACCTTATCTTTAAAATTCGGGTAACGATATGTTCGTAAGATATAATTTATTTGAGGTGTTAACTCAGTGCAGTGTTATATACAATTTTGTCCATTGTAGGTCATATTGGCTGCTACAGACTTAAATGTTGTTTAGTAGCAGTGGCGGCCTTTGACTTCTATACCAGGAAGGGCGGAAAATTTAGGTGCAAAGTATTGAAATAAATTAAATGTAATTGTGTAGTTTTTTAGTACTATTGAAATATGGAGGATTGCTCAACATTATTTTTTAAAAATTGAAGGTTAATTTTTCTGCTTTTGTCCGAAATAAACTTTTCGATTACTTTTTCTTTAAAGTTTGGTATTGCTCGCATCACTGATTTTTCAGTAGATAGCATTGCGAGTGCTGTTTTTACCATCTGATCTAAACCTTTATAATATTTTAAAAAACACAAGGAGTAATGCGAAAATTTTGTCCACACGTAAACAAATTACGTTTGATAAATAAAAAAGGCGGTGAATAGCTATGATTTGGTTACGGACGGACTAAAACAAATTCCAAACTGCATAGTAAATATGCACTAATCCCACGCCGTTTTTCACTGCTGCGCGATGGTAATTAAATATAAATAATTAAATTTTTTTATTATGAAAATTCACTAGGGAGACGGCGCACCAAAATCTTAGAAAATATGTTACATAGAACGGATAGGATTCGTTTGACACCAGCTAATGAATGTATTCATACGTAGTTCGTGTTAAAATGAATAAAAACGGGGTTAAAAGAGGTTAATAGGGTCAATTTATATTTCCAGAAGATGCCATACTTCATTTGTCTTTATTTAATAACCTGTTGATTTTGATACGGAGACTATTCGAGTTTCTAAATAAAAATATTAACTGTATTTACTTTGCGATAAGTTATCATAGAATAGCTCTAGATATTTTTCATTTGTTATCGTTGTACACCTACTGCACGGTCTACACAGTGTGGAATATTAAATATTAATTTATTATAAATAAAAGTTATTTTAATTTCAGGACGTTAAAGATCTAATAAATAATCACTAGATGCGAGTGATATTTTTTCTGTGTCGTGTTCTTGTCTGTAAAAGGGATCTACAAAAACAAATGAGTCTTAGATCAGGGCTACGCGGTGGCCACTGTGGCATTTAAGTTTATACACTAGTCACGAAAATTAAAGGAAAAAAGGAATCCTAAATTTTTAGGTGATTTTCAAAAGGCTGTAACTTGGAGAAAAATGATCGCACAGCAATACAAAATAACTCAAATTGAAGCTTGATGTTTCTAATTTCAGGATCAGAAAGTCAAAAATTTTTATTGTTGACCACCTTGAAAAAACAGTTTTATTATACTCTATAGTTTTTTTTTTACCAAAATTAGAATGCCCTCGGAGCAATTAAAATAATAAAAAAAAACATCGGCAATAAATTTAAAAATTTTTAACTTGCAGTATATTGTGCAAAATTCAATTCTAAAACTTTTTTCCTCTTCAATATTCTTCCAAAATGCATAGATTTCAAGATATAAATAAAAAAATTTTTTTAAACATTTTTGCAATTTTGAAAATGTTCCGGACCTCGCCCAGATCTAGGGATCTACACTTTTATTATATGAATTGTACTGAGGGTAATCCAGAGAAGATTTGCTTGCTCCCTCTCACATCCACCTCAAAACAGATCCAACCTGATGGCTATAAAGATATTCTCGTTTTTTTTTAACTTCAAAATATCTTAAAGCAACCCTCAGGAGTTCAAACCACTGCCATTTTTCTTTATTATGATCTGAATTATTGAAATTGTCACTTTAGCTAAAAGTCTGTTAAAGGATAACAATTTTCGACTTTCAGATCCTGAACCTAGAACTTTCAAGCTTGAATTTGTATTTTTTTATTACTTTACGACCATTTTTTGCCAAGTTACAATTTTTTGAAAATTAGTTAAAAATTTATGATTTTTTTAATCCTTTAATATTTCTGACTAGTTTATCTACTTGCCATAAAGAAGTGAAACGATGTTTTCTGAATAAGACCTGGACATATTAAAATATTTGAAACAGTGCCTCGATTGGATGCGTTTTGGATTTCACTCTTTATTTTTTATTTTTGTATCGGGATTCTAATGTGTCCCGTTCTTAAGGATCAGCTCTAAAAATAGACCCAGTATTACCCCTAATAAATATTATGTCTCATCCACATTTCAAACGAAGTTGGCAAAGAGATGATTAATAGTATTATTACTCACTAAGTACGTCCACAGTAATTGCGATAATTTTACAATATCCTGTCAGTTTATCATGAAAAAGAATCCATATCGAATTTATGATCTATTTTATCCATGATAAAAAACCAATATGAGCCTTAAGTAAATAAAGTAAATACTGGAAAGATACCTAAATATGAATTTTATATATTTTTGAAATTCCACTTCCAAATTATATCATTATTTAATATCGCATCCGTTTTTAACGTCGCCAGCTTTAAAAGTTAATTATTTTGCTCAGAGTAATTTTTGGGTCATCAACTGCACCTCCTTTCAATTTGTTTATTTCCTGATAATTATAAAGCTATGATAGTCATTTTGGAGAACTGAAATTTCCGTTTCTTTGGTATCGTATCCTATAGGGTTTATGATCTTCGAAAAATTTTCATTCGAACCAAAACGTTGTCAAATTCCTTTTCTTTTACAAGAAGTCGATGGCCGATTTATCAAACTTTATAACGCAAATCAATGAGGGAAATTGAATAAAATATGTCAGTTTTTGTGATAGCAAAGAAAATAATGAGTTTAGGTCTTTAACATTTTTGTAGCAGATGGTAACGAATAACATTAAAAGGTTACTGTAATATAGGTATCTGACAATAGTTAAAACTAAGATTAATGTGCATATTGTATTAATCGCGCAGTACAAACATCGTGACAGATCGGTAACCGCCCTGTTCGAACAAAGACAGTACGATCCATCGGCAAACTGATAATATCTTATCTAGCCCAGCGCATTTTTTTTCCTAAATATTTGCTATTTTCTAACTTACCACTTTAAGTATCTTAATGACGATAGTCCCAACTGTCTCTATACTAGTCATATTGGCACTGGTCTAAGTCACAGCTTGAAATTTTCGAAAATGTTGGATTTTTTGCCGCAATTCGCCAACTACGCGCCAGGCACCTGTCTCATACTAAACTAGGTGAACCAATAAGAGATACGTTAATGTTTTATCTCGCAAGATAAGATTATTTTGTTGATTTGGCGTTCTATTTCGTGAAAAAATAGATTAACGTGCTGTACTACAAACTGTTTTGTATGACTGTATTAGAACTTTGGTGACGAATTGTACAAATAAGTACCTACTTGATATTTCTCATTCGATAAGAAAGGCAGCTGTAAATCATGAAACAGTCGTTTTACAGCAAATGTTATAGGCTATTTGGTCGACTTCAATTTTTTTTTACAATAAAGTGACGGCCTTAAGAAATTTCAACAGAGTAATACCAAATGTTTCTAAAAAGAATCATCCAAATATATAAAATAATATAATTAATAGGAAAATATGGTCCTTATCGTATTTGCTTAATTAATAATCTTATACACTGTGTCGCAAAAGTTTTTGTTTTCTAAAATTGTCCAGATTACTGTAAAGAGAATGAAATTACGTTTCAAATGTCGTATCACAAGCCATAACGTGTAATTTAAAAAAATGGGGGGAACCTTGCGGGGGGTTTGGGGGAACCTTGCGGGGGGTTTGGGGGAACCTTGTAGGGGGTTTGGGGGGGTTAATGTAATGTATTTTTGTATTTTCGGAAGTATGTCTGAACTTTACCTAAAACTAACTATTAATCTAAATATCTTGCTGTTCTGGGAGTATCAGGACATACTGTATATGCATAACTATTCCCTCCAGTTGCTCGAAATTGGCTCCTTAGAACACTTATTTCAGTAACACGCACAGTATTATAGAAAACTTTATTTTCTACCTAATTAAATTACGGTTTATACAAAAAATATGTTACAAAAATAAAATATACAAAATCTCGACGCTAAGACTAAAACTAAATGGCATTATGAACAAGACGTTTAGTCGACAGTACCTTCCATTCCACCAGACAAAAGCGTGAAGCCAGAAGATGGTACGATGCAATAAATAGTAAAATGACGTATGCAAAAAAAAATAAATACTCCTTAAAACCTACAAACGCTTCTCCACCTCTCTATTCGCTGGGCAGCAGGGTGTTCTCGAGACAGGCCGGTCCTTGGCTGGGCCAGTTGCAAGCTCCAAGTGAGTTGTCGAAGGTCAGATGAACTGGGCAGTTGAAGGTGTGGAGGGTGAACTTGTTCTTGGTACAATCCCATCTGCAAGCGTAGAACTTGTTGCACTGGTTAGGATGTCTGAAGAGACCTGCCCTTTGACAGTCGATCGTGTCCCTAACATTAGCACCTCCATAGCCAGTAAGAGCATCCTCCGCCCCTTCCTTGGCAGCTTGCTTCACTAGGTTCAATCCGGTTCTAACAGCGCTGGCGATCTCCGCGTCAGAAGCCCCGACAGGGGTGATATCGTTCTTCAGGAACACCCCCACAGCGTCAGTAACCGGTTGAGTCACAGGACGAACTCTGACACGCTTTCTAACGGCATAGGTTGGATTTGGCGCGACCAAAGCTTGACTGGCGGTGTTTTGCACGTAAACTTGAGGGTTGGGAGTTATCGCGATGGTATCTTGGGGGTTGTATTGGTAGTTTTCCACAACTTTACCACCTTCGTTAGCTACGACGTAACCGTCATCGTCATCATCGTCCTCTACTATGATAATCTTCTGCTTCTTGCGCAGGCTCAAAGCGTTCGACACGCAAGTACATTGTGCTCCTAGTTTAGCAGCTAGCATAGGATGTAGGTCGTTTTGTTTGATAATTGTGATCTTCGCAGGTCTTCTAGTGTCCACAAGAGGTGCACCTGTAGTAACTCTTACTCTTGACCTAACAGGTAAATATTCCCTGGCAAGCGTTGTTACCTCCAAGGGAGCTCTAGATGATACTTCCACCAAAGGCGAGCTAGGTATGTAGTTTGCGGTTGGTGCGAATATAGGAGTAGTGGTAACACTAACTGGAATGTATTTCCTAGCAGGAGCGGTGATTTCCACAGGTCTGCTTGTGGTGTATCTAATCTTAGATCTGACAGGAACATAAGCAGCAGGTGTTGATACTTCTGGTACCACAAATACAGGCTGAGGTGTGGTAACTTGTATCTTCGAAGTTACCGGAATATATTCTCTAACCAACGGAGTTGTCGACACAGTGAACGGTCTAGGCGTGGACAGAGTTTGATATTGAGCATCTAAAGAGCTGAAGGAATAACTAGAGATTGGTTTGCTGGTTTGAGCTGGCAAGTATTCTCTAGTCGGTGGCAAATAAGTTGTGGATACCACGGGTTGTAATGGTCTTTCTTCAAACTGGATCTTTGGTTGTGGATAGACGTAACCTTCCGCTACAGTTGTTTTTGGAGTGGAGGATAATCTGCTGTCGTAATAGTAGAAGTTAGGTGCTTGCGTAGGCGTTACCTTGGCTGTTGACACGGAAGATATAACTGATTTATAGTTTGGTCTCGGAGTGGTCTGTACAAACGAAACGGGTGCAGAGTAATGTTCTTGTTGGTAAATTGGTGTGCTACTGACAGAATTTACGTTATTAAAGAAGTACGTGTTTGACGTGTCTACTGATTGACTGTAAGTTTTTGCGGGAGCTTGGTAATTTTCCACGACGACAGGAGTGGCTGGTGTACTGATCGGAACTTGGTAATTGTCTACAACTACCGGAGCAACCGATGCTTTCACTGGGGCTTGATAATTTTCTACGACCACCGGAGCAACAGGCGTCTCGAAACGCTGGTTATATTGATAACTCTTCGCGTTGCCAGTAACGTAAGCCTTCGTCTTTACGAATGGTACTTCTTGTACGAGTTGTCTGTTATCGTATGTATCGACAGGCGTTGGTCCTTCCGCAAAGGATACTGCAGGTTTGGGGTAGTCATAACCGCCAAATTCAACGTTTTGTACCGCAACTGCGGGTGCGCTAGTGGTGGAAGGTGTGTAACTATAACTGGAAACCACAGCTGGTCTGACTTTTTGTTCCAAAACTACAGATTTAGGCGTTGAAGTGGCGTAGCTGTAAGTGGAAATAGCGTCTGGTTGGTATACACCTACAGCCTTCTGTGCAACATCTTGGTACGTATAACTGGTAACAGCAGGTTGCTGATAGGTGTACGTGGGTTGTACTGATCCGTACCGAACTTCTGGTTGCTGGTAGTGGTAAGTCGACACCACAGGTTGTACAACTGGCCTTTCTTCGAAGGCTATCGATGGTTTGGGGTAATTGTAACCTTCTGACTTATAATCTTGTTGATAACTGAATGAAGCACCTACTGGTTGGACTATTTTTTGTTCTACAACAGCAGGTTGTTGTACGTTGTACGTAACAGTAGCGGGTTGTACTGTTGGTTTCCTGATGCTGAATTTGGAAATAACAGCAGGGCGAACCACTGGTCGTTCTTCAAAAGCTACAGAAGGTTTGGGATAGTCGTATCCTTCAGATGCGACGTTCTGTGCAAAACTGTAGGATGAAACGACGGGTTGTACGTGTACGTTTTGTTCAACAATTGGAGCGACTGTGGAAGAGACGTATACCTGAGGTCTTTGTTTCACAATGGGTTGGACTGTAGAGGAAACTACGACAGCCGGTTGTTCATATTTGTATCCTCCCGAGATATAATTTTGTCTTTGGTAAGTTGAAACGGTGGGATGATGTACAACGGGTTGTACGGAAACAATTGGTTGGACAGAAACAATAGGTTGTACTTGTTGTTGCACAAACGTAACAGGTTTAGGGGTGCTAGAAATGCTGAAACTGGATACTGTCTTGGCTGGACCTTCTTCAAAAGCTATGTTTGGTCTTGAGTATACGTATCCCTCATTTTTCTGTAGCGAAACTGTAGGGATTACATTTTGTTGAACGACTGTGACGGCAGGTCTAACGGTTGATGATCCACTATAACCTGAAACTGTTACACCTCCATCTGTAACGGATGGATTTGTGTAGACATATTCGCCCTTATTAGCAGATGAATCTAGAGATTGATAACTATAACTGGTTGCCCCAGCGCCACCACCCCTGTATTTATTCTGATTGAAAAATGTGGCCGGTTTCTGGTACTCGTATCCTTCATTTACTAGTAAAGCAGATGGCGTTGTGGGCACGAATTTCACAAAGCTAGCAGAAATGTTAGCTAGTTCGTTGCTGTCGTGAACCTTGTATTGCAATTGGGGAACGTTAGCCACCACTCCGCCCTTATAACTTTCGAAACCGGATCCGGTCTTCAGTGAGGGAATGGGCACTGATGTGACAGTTGGGACTGAAGCGAACGTGGTGACCGAAATGGGCGAAGCCGTTGAATGTAAGGTAGTATCGCCGCTCTGGCCATTTATTTCAACTCCAGATTTTGCTTCTCCTACCGCGGAATATCCACCGCCTACTATGTTAATATTTCCTGCAACTCCTTGACCGACGGATCCTCCATGGTACTGAGTGAAGGTTTGGGACGATTTAGCGCCGAAAGCGTTACCTGCGTTGTAGTCTACACCTTGTCCAAGGTTGACGTTTTGGTTCAGTTTCAGTCCAAAGGCGTTGTCAGCGTTGTATCCTAAACCAATTCCTATGTTGTCTCCATACTGTACAGAATTTAATTCGTCCTGGTTGAGACCACCATTGCCAACAACAACATTTACACCATGATTTCCTAAATCGGCGCCAGCATTGGCTTGAAGGGTCTGTCCAGTTTGACCATGATACTGAGTGAAGCTCTGTGAAGAAATTGCTCCACTGCCTGCAGCATGTCCAAGATTTCCTTGTACATGTAAAGCGTTCAGCTCTCCAAGTGTATGCCCAGTGCTTACTGTTCCTAAGTTGAGACCAGCGTTGTCCAAACCTGAAGCCAAATTCGTTCGGTATTCCGCACCGCCTACTCCACCTTGAGCAACAACATTTCCGTGGTACTGGAGTTGATTTTGTGAAGATTTAGCTCCAAAAGCGTTAGCGTTAGCATTTGCGTTATAATCTGCACCAGCGCCAAGATTAGCACCTGCATGAACTACACCAGAAACATACTGAGTGTTTAGTGCATCAGCGTTTGAGGTTTTAGCACCATATGCTCCAGCTACATTCAAGTTGGCATCGTTTATTTCCAATCCACTTGCTCCAGAGTTGTACTGGTATTGTTTGGATGTTCCTAAACCAGCTGCACTCGAGGCCGATCCTTGTCCAGAATAGTGACCTGCTGAGGTGCCAGTTCCTTGTTGATATCCTAGACCCACTCCAGCGATACTACCACCTTGTTGATATCCTTCTAACCCGGCAACCCCAACTCCCTCTTGATATCCTACACCCAATCCAGCAACGCTAGCTCCTTGTTGATATCCTAGACCTAATCCAGCAACACCGGCTCCTTGTTGATGTACTAGACCCAATCTGGCAGCACCAGCTCCTTGTTGATGTACTAGACCTAATCCAGCAGCACCGGCTCCTTGTTGATGTACTAGACCTAATCCAGCAGCACCGGCTCCTTGTTGATGTACTAGACTCAATCCTGCAGCACCAGCTCCTTGTTGATGTACTAGAGCTCCTTGTTGATGTACTAGACCTAACCCGGCGCCACTAGCTCCCTGTTGGTATCCTCCAGCTGCAGCTGCTGCTCCTGCTGCAGCTCCCAAGTCAGATCGAAGTAATCCAGCGTTTTGTAGTGACTGCGCAGCCTTATAACTCAAACCACCCAGTCCTATTCCATTTCCAATTATGTAACCGTCTTGGTTAACGTAACCACCACTGTTATAGCCCAAACCAGCGGTTCCCACGTTACTGTAAACTATTGGTTGTTCGATTTTGCCGGTAATTCCTCCTAATTTCACGGCACCTAGTGCTCCAAGTCCGTCGTATTGTTCTAGGAGTAGTCCTACGCCTTGTCCTGAGGAATATCCTCCATAGACGTATTCGGAAGCTAGATTGACACCAAGGCCGCTTGCGCATTTCGGTACCAACCACGGCCATTCGCACATAAGCCGATCCGAGTCGAAGACGAGGCCGAAGGGACACCTGAATTCGTAGGCGGTAAGAGGGGATTTTCCGTGGTCGAGGCAGGCGAAGAACCAGCGGCAGTTTTCGGGGTCGGCGTAATATCCTGAAAAAAAAAAACATAATTTCAGTATTCAAAATTAAAAATAGTTATTTTTTATTCTACGAGTAGGTTGCGAAATATCGCTTTTTTAGTCAAGAATGGAGAGTTTTGCATTCGAGATTGCAAAAGCGACTTCTCAACTGAGTATCAAACAATATTTTATCTGCTCTCACATAGTAAATAGACTATTAATACATTGTTTTAAGGAGGTAAGTGGATTTTACCGTAGAAGTGGAAGTTGCTATGGACAACGGGAGGTAAGTGAGGTAACTTACCTCCCTAGGGAAAAAAGCGATTTCGAGTTACAAATGCATATTTTATGAACAAATAAATAGAAATATTTGATGAATCCTGTTGGCTATTTCATTTTTGACTGTCAGCAACATAACCTTCTGCAATTGTGGCTGATTTCCACCCACCATGTCTCTTGATTGCTAATACATCAACTCCTGTATTAGCCAGTAACGTTGTCGATGTTCTTCGGAATGAATGGTCTGTATATGTTTCAGGATGTTCTAGTTCCAAAAACTGTGCAATCTTATTAGGAATCATGGAAAGGGTATTTATTCTAGCCGACTGGTTGGTTGTAACATCTACCTGCTTGATAGCGCATAAAAAAGCGTGAAATTTCAGTTTTAATTTGCAATCTAATCTTGATATATTTCATGAGAATTTCTAAGTGAGAAACAGAACCCAGACGAGAAGTAATTGTAAACGTACCATTGTTAGAATGTGGAACAACCACGGCGACTTTCCAAGATTTCGAATAATGTTAAAATAAATTGATTAAGAAATGTCAAAAAATAAAACCTAATCTTTATTTCATGAACCATAAAGAACTGTGCGAGCAGATAAAATGTTATACACCACGCAGCAGTTAAGTATAATTTACTTCCTTTATGGTGTAAATAACTATTTACTTGCTTCGAAATATTGTTAAAATTGGAAAAAAGTAGTAGAATTTTTGACATCTGATAAATTAATTTGATGTTTATAGCCATCTGTTAAATCGCAGCGCCCATGCTTTTTCAGTTACAAAGCCTACTTGATCTAGCTGATGCTAGATGCATTTATTATATTATTAAAAAAATAATGGCCTTAGTGCAGTGCCATGTGGCAACCTATAGCTATTATTTTGTCGAAGTACGCATATTGAAGTTTCCTATAAATTTCCTTGAGGTTTAGAAACTTGTTTACATTTTAAAAAGAAAACTACGCTGTAGTTAAATAATGTCGTTGCACTTAGGGGCAAGTTAATTGGCATCTATAATTTCATAATATTTTCCCAAACGTCTAATTCTGTCGATGAGTTAGTCAGGAAGTTCATTGTGCCGGCTTTACATGGAAGCAAACAAATTTGTTTACTAGATTAAACATTTCTTTCCGCTTTGCTACACCCGTAGATGAGGAATTTTTTTGGTCGTCTCGTCGTCCATTCCAAAGCCTCCCGGGCAAAGAAAGGCGACTAGCGATAGCCGGAGAATGTCTGTCTCTGATTACATAAAAACTAGAAGAGTAATGCGTACGCCCATAACTGCAAAAATCTGGTTCGTGTTCTCAAATTAAGATCACAGTACAAGTAATTTTAATAACGTAAGGGTGCGGTCACACGTTGGGAAAACTTGCGACATTTATCGCGAGAGTAAAAATGTTCTATGATGCAACATTTCCGAACTGATTTTCTGTCACTCACCTTGCTCAGCCGGGCAAACGAATCTCTGCCGCGGCACGGGCGCTATTTCGCTGCTTCCGGAGCACGGCGTGCCGTGAGGGAGACTTCCTGGCCAGACGCACACCTCCACGCGTTCGTCAAAGGCCAGACCTGCGGGGCAGTCGAATTCGAATACGTTGAAATCGTCCACCAGCTGGTCGAACTTCACGCAGCGGTAGAAGCGGTTGCAAGAGCGTGGATGCACGAAGTAGCCCTGACGCGAGCAGACGAATTCCGTCCTTGTGTCCTAAAAGTAAAACAAAAATATTAAAAAAAATAAACTAGAGTTTTTCTAAAACTACTACAATGTTTGCCATAGTTTTTGAGTAATTAGTAAATATTTCTTTGCAGTTTCTTCACAACTGAGAAAAAAATTTAAAAAAAAACTGCGATGGCCGGGAATCGAACCCGGATCAACTGCTTGGAAGGCAACTATGCTGACCATTACACCACCATCGCACGTTGTTCATATAGCCCGATTTTCGAGTCTCTTGCCGCTCTCTTTCCTTACAAATTCCTTTTGAGATGCTGGGGGAAGTGAAAGGATAAACTGATGCATATTTTAAAGTTGCACATAATTACATCGGACATGAAACGATTTCTTGGGATTCCCAGCAACTGCGATGGTGGTGTAATGGTCAGCATAGTTGCCTTCCAAGCAGTTGATCCGGGTTCGATTCCCGGCCATCGCAGATTTTTTTTTATTTTAAAAACTAAACAAAAGACATAGATTGTTTATTTTACAAGGAGCGTAAACAATTTTATAAATTCTGAATACTTCAGAGGGTATGAAGGTAAGAAAAAAGTTCATATCAACAGGGTGAGAAAATATTCGTAAATAAAACCTGTTTATTATTATTATATTTATGACAATGACGATTCAGATAACTCAGGGACTGAGATGCAGGACTATCTTTTATTTAATTGATTGTAAACAATTAGAAGCTAGAGAAAATAACTGTCAACGTGACGTATAACGAAGACGATTTTGGCATCACAAGCCTAAGCCTACTTGATAGTAGTTATGATTTTTTAAGAATCATTGATATATTGCCATAGACATCGGTTTTCCACAAAAACTTACTTTCCTTCTATTTTAGTAATACTAAGTGAATTATACTGCAAACTTAAATATCTGAATTCAAAAATTAAATGCTTTTTTTATTACTACAGTGAATGTAATGAGCTGTTTTTTGTTTAATAAGGATCATTAATAAACTGTCATAGATATCGCATTTCTACAAAAACTTACTTTCCTTCTATTTTAGTAATACTAAGTGAATTGTACTGCAAAGATAAATATTTGAATTTAAAAATGAAATGCCTTTTTTATTACTAAAGTGCAAGGAATGTGTTTTTTTATGTTTTAATAAGAATCATTGATAAACTGCCGTAGACATCACTTTTCTACAAAAACTTACTTTCTATTTTAGTAATACTAAGTGAATTGTATTGCAAAGATAAATATTTAAGTTCAAAAATGTAATGCCTTTTTTATTACTAAAGTAAAAGGAATGTGTTTTTTATGTTTTAATAAGAATCTTTAATAAACTGTCCTAAACATCGCTTTTCTACAAAATCTTACTTTCCTTCCATTTTAGTAATCCTAAGTATTGCAAAGGTAAATATTTGAATTCAAAAATAATCATCAGAATTTTTCTTTTTCATGTTAAACTCATAATCTTCAAAAATTGACGCCAACGCAGTCATCGATATTGTTGGATCTTCAACAATGTAGGATCTTTCCGCACAAAAAAATTAGAAACCGCCTCCATACGTTTAATTTCGACTCCTTCGTATTTTGGGAAGTTAAATTTGCCACTTCTACTTTTATGTTTTCGGAATTTTCATTTCCAAAACGAGCCATTTTTGAATTAAAAAAAACGCATAAAATGCGATTAAATTTTGTGATGTTTAAGAAGAAAAAAATATGTCAATCCAACTTTATTTTGGCGAAATAAGTTTCAAAATGAAACGTCAAATTTTTAAAATAAATTTTGGTTGTAAAATTTTCTTACCGAAATCCCCACGTCCTTGAATTAATGTCCGGAAATTTTTCCTCAATCTCGCATTTTTCTAGAAAATTTTCAAGAAATGCGTTCCTTCGGAAAAATTTCCGGAAATAATTCAAGCACTAGGGAGATTATAAGTGAAAAGTTACTCTTATCTATCTCTTTTCTATCGGATACATCTTTTTCGGGAATTTTGCAAAATGTAATTTTAAAACTCTTTTTGCCAGTATGCTGAACACTTTAATAACACTCACATGATAATTAGTTATTACTAACTATAGTCACTAACAGTCACTAAAGTTTTGATGTAAAGTTAATTAAAGTTTAAAATATTACTGAGTTGTTTATGAGACATCTATCAATATGTTTTGACATAAGCCTACTTTGAGAAAAGTCACTTATTTTCTGCACCAAAATATTGTAAGAGTTCAATTAAAAGCTTTTGTTCTCGAAAACCGTCCACATTAGGAAGTTCTAACAAGAGTAAATTATTTTTAGAAAATATATAATGATATATAATACATAATATAATAAAATTGTATATTAGAAATTGGAACCCGAATGGTAAAAAATCTAACCTCAAAAAAATCAGAACCTAAAATGTAATAGGAATGTATTGTAACTAGTGCCCTGTATGAAATATCCAAAAAATAATTAAACCAGGGTTTTTAGCGTCCTTAAAAACCCCAGAATATCAAATTTCATAAAACTATTTCGCACCGTTTGTAAATTTTTGTAAAAATTCTATTTAACAAATTTTATTTTGTCTCTCTGTATCTCGAAAACAAGAGGAGATAGATATATAGTTCATAAGACAAAAAATTCTTATTTTTTGTTGTACTATCACTTATAATAATACATAAATAACGACGTTGTACACCAATGCAAATGACAGACATTAATTTTTTGTATGTACGTGCCAAAGGTAATAGACTTGATGCTTATCGTCTGTATGCTGAGGCTTGTCCTAATCGTTCTGGTACTTCTACTGGGATATGCATCAGACTTCATCAGCGGTCCCATAACAGCGAAAACCTAGAACATCTAGGTATGTTTTCACACCCAAGGAAATTTTGTAGAAAATATCTATACTATATCGTGTACATCTGCATTTTGGAGATGAAATATTTCCGGACAAACTCATATCAACTTTATTCCTTATTTTTTTTTGCTTTTAAAATTTTTAACACTGTTTATAGGAGTAGAATATAAACCTAATAAGCAATATTAAAAAATATTGAAGTATATTGCACAAGTGTAGTCTGAAAAGCAATTGGTCTGCGAAAAATTCTCTTTGCCTTTTTTATTTCTTGAAGGACACTCTGTACTTTTGTTGATATTAAGATGGCGTGTCTGAAGCAGGCCCTACACGGTCCATCTTTTGATCAAAAGATTGAGTCAATCGATTGAAGCGCGCTTCAATCAACCGGCCAAACTTTTGATCAAAACTCATTCGTCACTACAAATGAAAAACTTCACCGAGTGTAAATAGTAAAATAGTGCTTTTGTGTAGCTACTATTTTGTAGCCTATTTACCTACCATTGAAACAATCTTCAATCATTTCCATCAATCGCCGTCAATGCTCAATCGCTCAAGTCCCCCTGCCCGCTAACCTTTTTTGTTTCAGAGACCGCCAGGATCAAGAAACGAAGACAACGACACACACCACACACATACACACTCCCCATACCCTCCTTACCCCTCCCCTCCCGCGCTAGCCTAAGGGCCACCTTAGCAAAGCGCATCCCAGGCTGCATAGCCGCACTACCCTACCCAACCATACCACACAAACATGACACCACCCCCGGGGTTTACACAGACGAGCCGGCGAAGCAAGAAGAGCGCCAGAAGAAAGGGCCCTAGCCGGCGGGGCCCAGCCAGGACAAAAGGAGGTCCCACAAAGCGCCTACACCGCCGCATTTGCGGTCGGGGTAGACGACGGATGGGGCCCACCTACGAAGGCTGTCCAGGCCTACACGAGATGAGGCAGGATAAAGAGGGATAATCCCCCTCGATCCCAAATCATTGAGGCCAATTTCTAGCCAATAATGGCGCGGCGAATCGCTCAACATCAGATGGGTTCCTCAATCATACTTAACTCAAACGATTGACGCAATCTTTTAATTAAAATGATTGATCGTTTAGGTGCAACTCTTCAATAACACTTAAATACGTGCGCTTAACAACAAAAAATGCTACTTAACCCAACAATACGACATACCTGTCTAACAGTGTGGATTTTGCCCTCAACGTCGATGATTCTGGATATGCGATAAGGCGACACGTGGACGTGGTCCAAAGGCTGGCTGGCCTCCTTGATCTCGCGCTCCAAAGAGTGCAACACGGCACCACGAGGTGCCCTGGCTTGTCTGGACAGCCCGTTGTAGGCAGCTTCCAATATGGACGAACCGCAATCATCACCGCCATCTTGGGAAACGTCCTTTAGGGCCATTCCCGCTAAGCCGCGCACCCTGGAATATTTGGCCTTGATGTCCATACTGGTGGGGTCCTCGAAGGCGATCCATTGGTTCTTGCTGGAAGAGAAGAAGGCTTGTATATGGTTGTAATATTGATTTACAAGGTTATAAGTCACTTGTAGAGTCACAGTCACAAGTAATTTTTAAGACAGTAGCTCGTGAACTATCCAAGTGATTGACAAATGATTTTTTAGCTATCGCTAGAAACTCGGGCACTGTGGATCACTATAGTTAATAACGACTTACAAAATGGACATGACTAGTGAATCATGAGCTGTCTTAGTGCTTAAGTCTATAAGTCATCTGCGACAAGTCATTTAATAATTATACTGACCTTATTCACAAATTAAATTCGTCACTATTGACTTTTTAGGCCGTAGTGATAAATAACTTTAAGTTATCGTTAGTCACTCATAGAATCATAATGGTGACCTATTTAATAAATCTAATGACTTTTAGTGAATAATGCCCTGCGACGAAGTCGTTTAGTGATTTATATTAGTCACAATGAACTGAAATCAGTAATCAGTTACATAGTTTTGTGTTATTAGGATTAGTTATTTCGCACTGATCACTATTGACTTATTAGTCTGTAGTGAGGATGAAGTTACTAAGTGAAGTGAATTAAGTTAATAGTGACTTAAGAAATGGACATGATTAATGATTTACTGAACTGTTTCAATGACTCAAATGTTACAGTGTCTACAGACAGCTATGATACAGTGATTATGTCACTTATAATCACATAATTTATTGAATTCAGTAATAATTTTGTATACAAGTTGGGGATCTATATATTTAAATGTTCCAGTTTTTGATTTATCATGAAAAATACTCAATTCTATGCAACCAATTATACTATAACCTTAGATAGCAGTGATAATAATCTATTTCTTTAAGTCGAAGCAATTTACATATATTTTCATTCCAATTAGTTATATTTAATTTAAATAACTACACCGCATAATTTATGACTTTTTTTTTCTTGAATCACACAACTAGCAGGTAAACAATATAAAAAAGTTTAAGTAACAAGCGCAAATAATTTAAAGGTAGCAGTTTTTGACCTTAGAGGCGTTTTTTCTAAAGGTTAACAGAACGCAAAGTAATCTAGATAGTTAATAAATTGTTAATCTATTATTGTGTGATCGAAATTTAGATATACTGTTAAAGAGATATGTAATTCCATTCCTAAAAAGTTTGGCAACCTCTGGCTTGTACCCACGAGAATATTATTGGAAGGTTTTGGTTAGATCTTAATATAATAAGACAGTTGTTTCTCTTATTAATAGTAATAAGTAATTTGACACCTAATTGTTTGACATTGAAATTATGGAAATGACTCTTATTCCTGTTCTAATCGAGTGTCAAAGTTTGTAAATAGGATAAAGGATCATTTCGTTTTTATATTTCAAATTCAAGTACGGAAATGAACTTACTAGTTTTTATTTTATTTACAATGTAGAGGCTGGTCTATTTTGGTTGGTATTTAACTGCGTACAGAAATATTTGAAAAAAAAGCTTATTAATATTAGGCGTAAAAGATTGATAAATAATTTTGATTTGGTTTTAAAAATAAATGTTGTCTAAATTATGTAAAACAATTTTTTTTAATGCATTTCATATTGAAAAGTTGGTTGTCTAGTTTCAAAAATTGTAGTCCTTTAATTTTGTCCTAGCAGACCCCCAGATACAAATTTGCTTCAGAAGTGGAATCTGAGAGATTAATAGTTTGAGAAGAGAACAAATACACTTGCAGAAGGTCTACCAAGCTCAACCAAAAAAATAGCACAAGAACAAGTGAGAGTTTACAACAGTATGAGTCCGATGTAACTCGGTTTGAGTTGTAGGCAATGTTATGAATGGTTTTCACGATTTAAAAGCGGTATAAAACCTTTTTCGCTATGAATAACAGTTTCTTTGCGCGAGTTAAAAAAACACTTTTCCATAACTTTGGCCATTGTTTAAATAAAGTTTCCCAACTAGTCTCGAGTTGATTTTTTGATATTTTGTTTGTAACACATTTCCGAACAATATTCCGCAGAGAAACTTCTAATAGTATTTTTTCCCCGAAAAAAAGCTATAATGACTGAACTATCTATACTGTAAGATAAGACTACAGAATTGCAGAATTATATTTGAAACTTGCTACTTTCTCAATAATTCTGCTACTGTCACAGAGAAGTTATCAAAAGAAGTAATTTTGCTATTTATTGGCTTCATTTCATAAATACTTCATGTAATATTTCTTTATATCGAATTTCACCAAAAGAAACGACGCTATTGAATCAACATGTATATGTATATCGGTTTCGTCCGAACCCGTGCAGAACTGAGTGCAGAACTAATCACCGACACGGTTTCGAAACGCATTGAATTGATATCCATACGAAATTGCTTCGATTTTTTTAGATTCTTCGGCCGTACCTATTTCCATAAACCGTCTTAATGAATATATGCAGGTGTGCCAACCGCTTTCGTAATGTGATCTACTTCGCTAGACAAGAAATGGCTCGGTCGACCCAATACGACATTGCCCGTGGTGGTTACTCTACCGTAGAAACTTCGGGCAGGTTGCAAAACGTATTTCATTGAAGGAAATACCAAGTACGAAATTACTTAGTCTTCACAATTTTTAAAAGACAAAGAAATTTTATTGTATGTAGGAGTATATACGTCGGATTAACTTTTAACAACTACTTAATAAAACGTTTATAAATAAATTATAGTTATTATAATTTTTAGTATTTAGCTTTCTTTCTTGCATCTCGTTTTTCTTACCTGAATATGTACGGACCAGCTTGATCCTCGTCTCTTTCCAAAGTCCAATTGGTCGCTCCATTCATAATTTCGCAAAGTTCGTTTCTCGTTAATGATTTCACCTCCAAAGCAGGACTTCCTGGTGCTGTGTACTCTTCATTTTGGAGAGTGAACTGGAAGGCTTGGACTGGTGCCGAGATGACCAGTTTCGATAGAGGCGCTCCCAAACCGCTCACTAGATCAACCACAGAATCCTGAAAATTGAAAATGTCACGTGAAACATTATTGGTCCGTCTGCATCAAGCGGATAGTACAATTGAAGTAGAAGTGTTTGGAAAGATATGTTCAAAGTCCTCAGGAAAGTCGTTCATGAACGGACGCAGAAGAAGGAGTCTGGAAAAGGATCCTTGAGGAACTCTTGATACTTTAAGAAATTCAGCAGTAATTATAGTGGCAATATACCTTTCAAATACAATTTCTTCGAAAATCAGTACGTTATTTTAATCATAAATGTCGACTAACATCATACGAAAAATTATTGTCGTACCTTGCCCACAACAACAATTTATTGGACCGTGACGTAATGGAGCAAGGATTAATGACGTGCATGTACCTTATTTGAATTTATTATGCCATCTTTCAGCCGCTCTCGAGTAATATGAGTCAAGGTCATCGCACAGTAGGAGATGAAATAAAGCGGTGTGTAATTGTTTAGCCAAAGATAGTGCTTTGGCGCTGTGTGAGTCATTTCCATTTCATTTATCACGAACGCGACTGTGTGGGTTTAGGTTTTTCAGCGTTGACTTTTTATACCGAGTGTTGGTAAATCCCGTCCAATGTTTCCGTCAAATAGGTACCTTATGGTGCAATCTTTCTGAATTTATTTATTTATCTATTTGCTAATCCAGCTTCCTTAGAAGGATGTACGACGTGTCACCGTATTTGTATGTACCACACACTTATTAGCGAGATCCATATTCATAACATCCGGGTTAAATTTAATTAAAACTCCAGGGTACAGTATAGGCTGACGCCTGCTTAAAAAATGTACCGTTTTCAAACTCCTTGACATTTGTGGTTTAGTTTGGGCAAAGCTGTTAATTATGAATATCCTTCAGATAATTATTTCAAGGCCAGTATGTAGGAAGTTATTTTTTTCCCTAAATTAGTCCAATTATGGAAATTCTCTTGATACACTTGTCTTTGTGTTAAATAAAAAATTATGTATGTCTCTAGATCTAGGCTGACATGTACAGTTACTTCATTCAAAGAATTCATCTATTAGAATTTTAGCTAGAATCTAGAGCAGTAATTGCATATCCCTCTGGGGATACCGATAATCATTTTTAGCACTTTGCGCAACAAGTGAATATGCTTCACTTAGTATTGAACAATAGGCATACATTATGCATAATAAGTCATTGTATATCGCATTAGATTGGGATAGTTCCTATTGTTTCTAGTGTTATTGGTGTTAAAAACAAGAATTTGCATACCCGTTCGTCGTGATACGAAGAAAGTGAACATAAAAATCACAGGAAATAAATTGGAGAAGAGAACGTTGCCTAATGGAACGATGGATGGATTGCGACAGAATTTTCAAGATGAAGGATAATGTATTCTTTCATTAGTATGCGAGATTCTTAAAATAATCCCATCTTTAATGATTGCCATCTCGAATTCATTATCATTATCACATAGAAGAATATTTGCCAGCCCGCAGAGTTATTTTATTCGCTAAATATACCATTCAATAAAAAATAAGTAAAAGTGTCATTAATATTCAAAGTTCTGAGTGCTTGGTAGGACTGGGTATTAAAAAATCATATTCTAAATAGTGAAATTTCGACTTATACACTAAAACTTACAGTGTTCTGCATGTCCCACATGCCCGACAGCCTACTGGGATGGAAGGTAACATTCTTCGATGCTCCCAAGAACGCAGTCTGGAGGATGAAGAGGTCGGTGTGCTTAGACAAGCTCTTGAAGTCGTAATATTTGGCCAATATGTCGGCGCTTGACGGGACGGAAAGAGCGAGGTACAGATCTGATCCCAGCTTGCTCCTAACAGTGCTGATGAATTCGTTGATGTCATCTTTGGAATCTAACTTCTTCAGGTTTATCTCCAAACCGTCCACTTTGCTGTTCTTCAACAAGTTGACCAGGCCCTGTAAATTTAAAGAGATTGAGAAACAGACAAGTGCTTGTAAGAATGTCTCTTACGTCGCACGCATCATATTTATCATGAAAAGTGTGAATACGGGGGCCAAATCGCGATTACCATTATTCCGTCGCCCAGGGAAAGCTTTATGCAATATAGTTCACCTTACGTGATCTCGTGGGTTTTATCATTGCAAAGGTTGTTTCAAGTAAACAGTATTTATGACATTCAAACACGTCGTTTATGGACAAGACCTTTATAGAGCGATTAACCGGTTCTCCATCGAACCTACTCATTCTGTCCGTTACAGATTCCAAAAACGTGAAATCGCTCGCATACGCGGTGGCCCAGAAAAATACTAGAGGCCATTTCAAAAATAAACTTTTTATTTAAAAATAAAGTATCAATATTTTCAAGGAAGCGGCCCAGATTTAGGCCCTTGTAGCACACCAAATGTGTTTTTAAGGTAATACCACCGAGTCAAATGGTTTTATATAAAAACTAAACAATAATACTGTATAATCGTATATAATTGCTTCAGTATACACATGACTTTAAAAGTCGTGTGGATCTCATGTATATTATTAAATGTGACAGTTTTTGGTCATCTGTGATTCACGGTAGCTATAACGTTCGACTCGTTTTACTTTTAAAATTAAATTGTAATAAATTATGCATCGATAGAATGATAAGTGACTAGTTGGTAAACAAGGTATAAATCATTTTTCTAGGTCGATTTTTATTCAAGTCAGGCATACGAAGGATGTGAGAAATGTTCCCACATTCTGCAAAAGCCTACGTGATATCGGCGTTTTATTCAAGTTGTACGGTACTGAAATTTCTATGTCTCTCCTGGTCGTTGCACAGTATTTGAACCTTTTTACGCCATTTACCATGTGTGATGGAAATGAAAGTGGACACCAAATTGCTCTTATGAAAGTGCAATGCTTCAAATTTAATTGTCTGCGGAACAATTTCGGCGAGTGTTACGCAATGCATAATTTACAACAAGATTTAATTAATATATCCGCAAATAATACAACTACTCGGAAGTTAATCTGAAGCTATGATTCGCTATAATTTCCTCAAAAAAATGTCTTAATTAACGATATAGTAATTTATTTAAAAAAATAACTAATTTTTCGTTGTTTGATTGACGTACATATTTGCTTGAGAAAGCTAGGACTTTCGTCAGTAAAAAAAATGTTTCCCAAAAGAATTCAACGTTATTGTTATTAATGAAGAACTTTATAAAATATATCTGATTTCTACAATTATTTATTATTTTTTTTAATATTTGAAATCGGTTGTCAGTTAAAGTAATAAAATGTACAGGGGTGATTTCTTAAATAAGAAATCTAGCAAAAGTTCTAGGTTAATTACAATTTTTGGAATATGATTTAGTTTTTTTTGTAATAATTATACAGGGTGTTTGTAAATAAATGCGAAATATTTTAGGGGGTGGTTCCCGAGTTATTTTGTAAAAAAAGTTCCTAATACAGTGTTTCAATTTTAATTTTTTATTTATTTTAATTAATTATTTCAGTTTTAACGATATTTACTCGAATTTTGAAAAACGCTTTGTAGGGATAAATGTGCATTTTTTGAGGTGATCCGAATATTTCTACTTGCACCAGTGCCGTTCGTGAGAGAATGCCATAAACTTTTTTAATAAAAAAAAATGGTACGCCACTGACTTTTTCCCGTTTGATATTTTTTTAGAAATCCGCCATCAATTGTGAATGAAATTGGTCTCTTCAGTTTTTTTCGTAGGATGCACCGTTTTTGAGGAAAAAAATAAAATATATTTTGTTGCAAGTTGTGTATTTTTAATTTCTATTGATACAACCATCAATTTTCTAGTCAATATCTTTAAAACTCTTTGAAATAATTAATAAAAATAAATAAAAAATTAAAATTTAAACATTCTGTATCTCGGAAACAAAGAATATTTCGACCTATGTTTATATGAACTTTTTTTCACAAAATAACTTCGGCAAGCACTCCCTAAAATATTTCGCACTTGTTTACAAACACGCTGTATAATTATTACAAAAAAAACTAAATCATATTCCAAAAATTGTAATAAACTTTTGCTAGATTTCCACGGTGTGACTCTTTAAGAAATCACCCTGTCCCTGTATATTTTATTACTTTGACAACTTATTTACAAACACCTTGTATAACTGTAAGTTTTAGAAACTAAATTTTTAAACATAATGTAAATTTATTGATGCTATAACAGTTTTTATAAACTTTCTAGATTTAGGTTGACATGGCACCTTTTTTTTCTTTTGGACGTGTTGAATTTTCATTTTCCGAAAATTTTTCACTCGCTTTTGAAGAAAACACAATTTCGCACAGTTAGCTATGGCCAATATTGTAACAAGAAGAAATTAAAGAAATTAAATAGCAATAGAGGTGTTAATGATTTCTTTAACACAAGAATTTAAAATTGCCAAAATAGGTACTAAATTATTCAAAAAAAAAAGAAAAATATAATTAAAATTAGAAAAAAAACTAATAGTACTATTGGGTAACTTTGTATTTCTCTGAGATTTCCATGATGGGAATTGTTATGTGATTCACACTGTACAATATACAATAAGGAAATTTACTTAAAATATCCTGTATATTTCACATTTTCGCGATTTTTCTATTTTATTTAGAATTTTCAAGATGTTTTCAGTTAAATTAATAAAATGAAAAAAAAATGATATTCATATTAGTAGTAGCATTGTATAAGTATTTATTTATACAATGGTAGTAGTAGTAGTAGTAGATAATGACTTGTGATTATTTCTTCACAATCTTTTCCAATAAAAATAATGATAAATATAAAACTTAAAACAATAGTACCAAAACTAAAATAACAAATCGACAAGAAAAAAAATTGTAAAACTCGATAATTAATGTGTATGTTTGAAAAATAACGCTTTTAATAATAATAGTTATTATTATAGATTATAATGTACAGGGTGGACTAAATTTTGAGGGTTTCTCTTACTTCCCGAAAGATAGAAAAAAGTTGCAGATTGTTTAGACAGTTTTTTTAAATAAAATCTAGTATTTTTTTCTTCATTTTTTGGGTACTTTGCCACCTGCAAATTTTAAAAATTTGTGAAATAAATAAAAAGCAGACAAATAAAAAATTAAAAAATACATCACTTAATATCGCGCACTATAAAAAGGTCGTTAACGTTTCGAAAATTCACTGTTTTCGTCTTTTTAATTTTTGTTTCAATAGCTTTGACAGTTTAAGTTTGTTTGCTTTTTTTTGTTTCCCTACCTAACCTTATAACCCTTAAATTCACAAATTATTTAGATTTTTTTAACCGTGGCAAAATGCCCCACAAAAAAAATTAAAACTGTTCCACAAATAACATATTTTTTATAGAACAGCATCGATATATGAAATCTGCGTAAATTTCCTTTGAAACGATAACGATATTTCCACGAAAAATTTTTTCAAGATACACCAAAAATTATATTTTTTAAAAACAATTCAGTGTGTCGTTATTTTATTTATTTTAATGCTTCAAATACATCCCAAGTATCTTATTTGCATAAAAAAAAACAGTTGAATAAAAAATAATCCTTGGCGTTTATTCCTTGAAATATTTTTTTCACGTAAATTCGTGTAAATAAATACAGATTTGAAAAATCGAAACACATATAGGGTGACTTATTTAAAAAATTACAAATTTGATTTATGACTAAAGAGTCGGTTATAGAAAAAAAATATCGCATTGGATTCTACGAAAAAAAAAATTGAATAATACTCTGCAAAGGGCATCATAGAAAACGACCAAAATTAAAAATCGCCCTGTATCTCTGAAACGAAGCAAGCTATGGAGATGCGGGTGTTGCCGTTAAATTTTTCACGAAAATCGAGCCCGTAACAACTAAACTACGAATTTTCTTCCATTTACTTACCTGGTTGAACTCGTTGACTGTGACCAGGACCTTCACACCCTTCAGGTGTTCCCTGGCCCTCTCGATGGCTTTGACGTCGGAGTTAGCCGGGAGGATCGCGTGCGTGCAATAGCAATTATCAACGTCCGTCAGCTTGCCGTAGTAGCAGAACAACTTGGAATTAGACTTCCTCGCCGGGCAATTCCTGGCCGCGGTACAGGCAAGGATGGCCAGAAATACAACACCTAAAAATCTCATGATGTCGACGCTCCAATATATACCTAAACGGTTACGGTCATTTCTCGACGCCCGGTATATTTACTTAAGTCTCTCACTTTCGTATCGCGCTGAAGCTCGGCACCGGATGAAATCGAAAGTGATCTACTTGGGTCGATCTGCAAATATTGACTGAACGTTAGAGGAGGGCCCACTAAACTCGTAACCGTTGTCTCCCTGACCGGTAAGAGGAAAAGTGACTGCCGAAAGTCACTTTGACTGACTGATATTAATGTTTACAAGCGTTCTTTCCTAATGACCGCCGGCTGCATTTGAAATTTAAAGCAGATCATTAGCTGATTTGCATCGGATGCGATTGGTACGAAAATTCTGTTCGTACGGTATTTTACGAACTCTTAACAGATTATTCGTACGAATAGAGTGGTTGTACGACTTTTAAGTAAAGTAACATTGATCCAATTTGTTTAATGTTGCAGTGTAACCGCTCGTATGTAAGTACAGGTACTTGTTTTAATGTTAATGTGGCATTTCGTACGAACAGATTTTCGAACGAATTCGCATCCAGTGTAACCGCCACCTAACGCGATATACAGAGTGTCCGGTAGCTAATGTGGCGTATTACAAGCGTAGCTTCTTTTGGTGAAAACAAACCTATTTATATCAAATTACTTTAATACAATTTTAGTTTTTAAAAACTTACTTGCCTTATTTTTTTTTAAATAACTCCCTCACTTAAATAATCTAGTCACAATAAATAAAAAGTATTAAAAAAATTCCAAATTTTAGGAGAATATCGAAAAAAAATCAAATTTCCAGAAAGGAGTTTCGCATTAATTAAAAAAACACTGTTGTTTTAAAGAAAGGGTGTTTCAGAAAGACCTCCCGTAAATTCAGGGGGTGATAGTACGACAAAAAATAAGAACTTTTTGTATAATTCATAGAGGGCGCTAGTTACGCTACATTCCTATTACATTTTAGGTTCTAATTTTTTTAAGGTTAGGTTTTTTACCATTCGGGCTCCAATTTCTAATGTACAATTTTATTTTCTAAAAATAATGTACCCTAGTTAGAACTTCCTAATGTGGACGGTTTTCGAGAAAAAAGGTTTTTAATTGAACTTTTACAATATTACGGTGAAGAAAACATGTGACTTTTCTCAAAATAGGCTTATGTCAAAACTTATTGATGGATGTCTCATAAACAACGCATACATTCACAGTAACATTTTAAACTCTAATTAACTTTGTATCAAAATTTTAGTGACTGTAATTAGTCATTACTAACTACAGTCGCTAACAATCACTAAAATTTTGATATAAAGTTAATTAGAGTTTAAAATATTACTGAGAATGTATGCGTTGTTTTTAAAACATCCATCAATAAGTTTTGACATAAGCCTATTTTGAGAAAAGTCACTTATTTTCTACACCGTAATATTGTAAGAGTTCAATTAAAAGCCTTTTTTCTCGAAAACCGTCCACATTAGGAAGTTCTAACAAGAGTACATTATTTTTAGAAAATAAAATTGTACATTAGAAATTGGAGCCCGAATGCTAACCTAACCCCAAAAAAATTAGAACTTAAAATGTAATACGAATGTAGCATAACTAGCGCCCTCTATAAAATATACAAAATATAATTAGACCAGCGTATTTGGCGTCCTTAAAAACCCCGGAATACCAAATTTCATAAAAATATTTCGCACCATTTGGAAATTTTCGTAAAAATTCTATGTAAAATATTTTATTTTGTCGCTCTGTATCTCGAAAACAAGAGGAGATAGACATATAGTTCATAAGACAAAACATTCTTATTTTTTGTCGTACCCCTGAATTTACGGAAGATCTTTCTGAAACACCCTGTATAAACGATTTAGACTTTGAGGAAGTCAGTAAAACTTCAAGATCTGTGGAATGAAATAAAGCGATCCATAAACTGTTTTTAATTAATGTTTAAATTGACATTTAAAACTAAGGTAGCTACAGGGGTCAAAAGAAATCAACCAACATTTTTTTGACGATTGAGAAGCATTGTGGAGAAGTATGTTAAAAAAATTTGAAAAAAAATATTTTTCAGTTTTTTATAGTATTTAACGTTTTTTTTTCAAGAGAATATGAATTATTGCTAAAAAAACATTTTCAACTTAAAAAAAAGAAAAAAAGTGAAAAATTACTCATTACATTGATTTTCAGAAAAAACGATAAATTTAAACATTCCGGGCACTAGGGAAAAACTACCAGGATTTCTTTAGGACACTTTAAGGCTGAAAAGTTACAGTCATTATCCTTAGTTTACCAAGTCAAGGTTTTAGTGGGATAAAGATCAATAAATATAAGAACAATATATTTTAAATTATTACCAAAGTTTCGGTGTTATTTTACACCATCCTCAGGGTTCGAAATTTGAAGTGTCTTGTCCAACTTAACAATTCTAAAGATTAAGAAAATGGTATCTAGATACTACACTACACATATAATGTACTTATAATTCATAAAACATATTCAATGCGGTTTTTTTTTTCACAGTAAAAATTGTTATGTCTTAGGTACTGTTCAGCAGAATTATCCTTATTTTATACATTATTTGCGAAGTTATGCCAAGTCATTCAAATATTTTTAATTGTGCAATTTTTTACCTTTTTTCCAAGATTTTCACTTCGAAAAAAGTTTTTTTATCAAAAACCTTTAAATACAACTTCGGTTTCAAAAATTCAATGCCTATGCATGTTTTCAGCCACGAAAGACAACCACCAAGAACGACTGTGACATTTTTAATAGTAATGTGACATTTCGCATTGTATTAGCTATATCCTGTTCAAATTTGGTTAGTGCATCTCTCGGTTTCGAAAATTCAATACCTATGTAAGTTTTCAGCCACGAAAATAGAATTGTTCCAAACATTCCGAATTTTCACCACCAAGAACAGCTGTGATAACATTTTTATCAGCAAGGCGATGTTTCGCATTGTATTAGCTATGCCCTTTTAGAGAATACTTTGTAGTTTTCAAAACAATACTTGGATTTTCTGTATGATCATTATTTCTCGAGTAATTCATTGCCAAAGTCAAAAATAACTTTTTGCTACTCAGCAATAAATCATCGTATTGGACTCCAGGACCGCTCAAATTAAAGGGAATTAAATTATCTAACAGAGTTTTATGGTGAAATTACCAAAAAAATACTTTTTAGCCTTTTTTAAAGACAAGAAAAATTTGAAAATTTTTTTCGTCGTATGATTACTCAAAAACTTCTTATGCTAAAAAATTTTAGGTTCCAGATACGAAAACTAGACACTTGAAGTTGGAGTTTTCTTTATTTTGATTCTCTCTATGAATATTTCCCTCCAAGTTACAGCTCTTTGAAAATCACAAAATTTTTTTTTAATATCCCTCAATTTTTGTGACTAGATAAAATTTCATGTGGGTGGATTTTGGTTTACGCAAATATGAATATGAGTTTATTTTTTACTTAAAACGTAGATGTTGCTAAGAATATCTCAAACTATTTTTTGTTTTTTATTATTGGTAAAGATTTGAGAAAACAGATGTTTTTTGACACACCACTTTATTTATTAAAACAACACAGGATATTTTCTTTTGAATTGTATTAACTTTGACAACTGGTAGAGAACTTGATTCTGAACAAAAAAGTTCATGAGATCATAAGCCGTAAATTGCCTCCTAAGCGAGATACAGGGTGTCGAATTTAATTCTTTGTAACATATAATGTGATGTCTAAAACACAGCAAGTACTAACGAAACTAAATTGGATATTTCTTGTAGCGACTTAATGTTCTTTAAAATTGATCGGCAAACGATTCATTACAACCACCAGAGGCGTAGTAGACGGGTAGTCAGTGCCCCTTTTTTAAATAGAAATTCGACGCCTGAGTTTTTCATTTTAAAACGCTTTTCTTTCAAAATTGTCATAAGATTAAAGGGGTACATAGTTTTAATAATTTTTGGGTATTTTCTTTTGGAGTACCTCAAGGAACAGACTTTTGGCCCTTATAATTTGTGACAAGTATTAATTATCCTCAGAAGTAATCGAACGAAATAATATTTATTGCGGTTACAAAACTAATGATTTACGATATCCTGTAACTATTTTCAATTTCCTCAACATAACAAAAATATCCACCTATTATCTCCACTAATATATCTTCCGTTCCGTATTCATTATAAGTGACTTTTTCACCTCTGACCTTATATTTTTTGTTCAAGCGGATATAAATCCAACACCTTTCGATAGTTTGCATGTTATTAGCGTCAGCAGAAATATATTAAAGCATTTGCTTAGTCATAAACAGGAAGATATCAGATTTCATAAAATATCTAATCAAGTTGAAATCCCGATTTATCTACAGGGTGACACATTTTCAATGACAGTTTCTCTCATTTTTACGATAATCATTAGTGAGTGGGAAATATTAGTTTACAATTCTCTCTTGGCAGTTTGTAGTGGAATTTTTGTGGGTGATATTTTTTGTGATGTATAATTTCTGATACGCATTGTGTACACGGATACAGAAGGCGTTGACAGGCGAAAAAAAGTTGTACGTTGTGTTTATAAATATTAAATTAAACACCGAAAATATTCCAAGTACCTGGCGTATTACAATAGAATTTATTAAATATATTCGTGAAGATATGTACAAAGATTAGGATATCAAAATAGTTTTTGCTGATCTTAAATATTTATTCTAATTAAAAAAAAATAGTACATCAGTGTTTGAAGCTATGGAAAAATTGTTTTCATTTAATAGGACATACAAACCCGAAAATAGTGAGCTTTGATTTGAATAATTGTTTTGTTCATTAATCAAAACCAAGGCCTACTTGAAGAAAACAAATTCTAGTTTGGTGCTTGAAGATCATATCTTTACTGAAAAAATGTACAAAGTGATGAAATGCGCAGCTTTAAAAAATGTTTAATTGTGCCACTTTAGAACATGTCAATTAAGAGTCGTTTTCTATGATACAACTTTTACCTGCTTTTCTGCACGGTGTTTTGTCTGAGTCACTAGATATTTACGTCCAAACTAACTGTTTAATTATGTACTGCAAGACCGCTTAAGTAAATAATATTTTTAGCCCGCTCTTAAGAAGCCCATAAGGTGTAGGTGACTCAAACTTCCAAGTACAGACAGGCATTCTTGGAAAAACCTACGGTTTCTTAGGCATGGTTCGATTTCTCAATTCCA